TTGCGCTCCGCCCTCACCGCTGCGCGCTCGTGGCCGTGGTTTGTAGAATGGCTGTGGGCCCTCAGAGAGAAGGGATTTTTTAATTTTGTTTTTATTATGTGTAACACATGTACCGCGCAAAGTCCGATTTTTAACTGGCAGATCGTACCGGTATCAGGTTGGAACCCGGTCGGACAGTTGGAATTTTTACGGTATGGTATAATATTCGCAAGATTCCAACCATGCATCGTCCATGAAGAACTGTACTCAGCCAATTCACCAATTAGATTGCAAGATTAATGTGATTTTATCCAATGACGAAGTCTTAAAAAGTAGCCACCAATTCCTACCAATCCGACCATATTCAGTTGGAATTTTTTCAGAATATGTTGTACTCTTTACAAATATCCATATAGTAGCATATACTAAAAATATCAGGAAGTTTCCAACCCGAGGTGGCGGTTGGCAGCTGTTTCCTAAAAGACATCATTTTGCAGAGCTGTGACCATGTCTATCGCGTCGCTAGCGCCACCTAACAGTAAGAAGGCCCGGGTGACGGCGATCAACTCGTTCAGCACGTTTCTTTCTTCAGAAAACATCACACTAGAGCATGTTCAACAGCTTATCGACGCTGACAAGACCGGTAGGGTACTTCGAATTGTGCTAGATAAATATGCGTATTCTCTAGCTAGATCGACAGACAAAACTCGATCTACCAATACATGTCTAGCCTATTCGGAAACGTAAGAATGTTTGTTGATTAAATAACCCACAGACCAGGGGGGGGGAGCAGTAAAGGGCCCCAGCTGGCAGAAGATTCGTGTCTGGGGCTGGTAAGTACTGTACCAATCGCGAGAATGGGGCTTTTGAAAAGAAAGCTCTCCGCCGTTTTCCCAAGCAAGATCTAGAAAATATCGCTCGCCTACTTTATACTTCTGATTCTGCTGAGAGTATCTATCCGGATGCAGCTCTGGTTGTGATGCTGTGGTATTTATACGGACGTAGCTCGGACGCAGAGCAACTTGAAAAAAACCAGCTCTCGATTTTACCTGGTAAGATCATTGACTATTTTATTTCTTTATATATTGACAATTACGCTAACTGGAACCTTGCAATATGTAGGTGGTGTACTCTTCCTACGCTTTAAGCGGATTAAAACAGCTTTGCTACAAGGTGTATCCTTGTTCAAGGACCCGACAAGTTTTTTAACTTGTCCACTATTCGTTTTAGCTGCTGCTCTAACCATACAGAATGCGCCAAGCAAGCGTCTATTTCCTCAGTTTACCAGTACAAGGCATATCGGAGCTAATGCTGGCGATGTAGTAGACCTCAGTCTCGTAGAGCTTCTCGAGGCAGACGACAGCCCCGCATCCTTGCCAGACCTGCAACAGTCGCCAGCTACCAGATCGGTTCCTGGTGCACAAGCGTACGTGAACCGATTACTGGTTCGAGTCAAGAACATTGCAGATCAGAAGCAGGTCAAACTCACACAAGGACTTACCTCCCACTCTTTTCGTCGAGGAGCTGCCATGCACGCCAACGATGGAACATTTGCAGAAAACTGGATTATAGAGCGGGGCGGTTGGCAGCTTGACCGCGTCAATAAGGCGTTTGGGTACATGTTGGGTACAACGCAGGCAGATCAGCAAGTTGCGCGTGTCCTGAGCGGATGGAAACCAAAAGAAGGCGCACGTCTTCCTTCGTTGCGTATCTTGGAGCCGTCTGTGCTGTTCCGCGCCCAAGCACTGCATGGTCTACTTTTCACGAGCTCCCTGGGCTTTGCAGAGCCTGGCATGAACCTAAACGAAGACGTAGCAGAGGTCTTGTCAGCCACCCTCATCATGCACTACCCCGACATGCTGCTGCTCTCACGCGAAGGAGCACTGGTTGCCCGCATTTGGGCGGCCATGTCAGCACGAGCCATCGGGGAAGCGGAAGTACTTGCATGGAGCAGCACAATCCGCCGTGCTTTCATGCCACCATCAGCGATAACCAAGCCCAGCGTTAGCGACTCTCACTCTGCTGAGGTGTTAAGCCTCATGAAGCACCAGTCCGAGCAGATCAGCGTTTTAATCCTGCAAAATCAGCGCCTAGAGGAACGACTGTTAGCTGTAGAGGCGAAATTGCACTCACCGTCGGCTCCAGCCAAAACTGTTGCGGGTTGTGTATCACAGCCTGACCAACAAATTGCCATCCGAACTGTTCGTCCGAAGAAGAAGGGCTCGCAGTCTCTTGCAGCAGTCTGGTACGAATGGTTTACGGCCGAGCCCCGCGTTTATGCCTCGCGCTCTGTGAAGAAAACGACGCTGTACGAGCTTAGACACACCGCAGAGTATAAGTGAGTCTTTTTCTTACCTCCAGGGATTTTCACTTGAATGTCTTCGTTCTCTGCGCTTTCCAGAAGATGAAGTGGTTCGCGCTCTGGTGAGAAAGCCGCCAGTGAGCACGCGGGACTCTTCTTGAAGACGCAACGGTCTCTCAGCAGCAGCAGCGGGTACGCGCACTGAAAGCCCTTCGCAATCTACACAAGGCTGGAAGGCTTGACGCACATATAACCCAGTTCCACGAGCGTGCTGAGCGTGGTGACGTTGTCGATCCAACACCACCTTCGGCGCTGCCAAAATTCATTCGTAACAAACCCCCCAAGCGCTGAACCTGTAGTACACATAGTACAGTTAAGTAACAGCACCAGATCTCACCTTACGCTTTGAACAGTATAATTCCTGGCAATAGATAACAGCTTCCTCACTAACGCATTATCTTATATTACAAACAAAGCTGCAACAGCAAGTTAGAAACGACATGCTCACTCATGTTATGCAGCAGCAAAGACTTACCATATTTAATACTAGTGTGGCCTCGATGTAGGTCGTAGATAGTCTTCGCAGCATTCCGCTCGCCCTTACGGGTTATTTCACTTCACATGATTCATCTACGGGGACGGCAACGGCGGATGTAGTGAGGCGTGAGTCCCTGGTAGTGATGCCGCGCGCGTAGAGGTGCAACCGAGGCCTTGAGGTCGCAGGAGGGCCGTAGAATTGCGCTCCGCCCTCACCGCTGCGCGCTCGTGGCCGTGGTTTGTAGAATGGCTGTGGGCCCTCAGAGAGAAGGGATTTTTTAATTTTGTTTTTATTATGTGTAACACATGTACCGCGCAAAGTCCGATTTTTAACTGGCAGATCGTACCGGTATCAGGTTGGAACCCGGTCGGACAGTTGGAATTTTTACGGTATGGTGTTATCTTCCACCGGAACATGTCGTGGAAAGCAATTCTATCAAATGTTCCACAAGCGGTCCCCTACGCAAAGAAATCGGTAACGCCAAAAGCAGCCAGAGCTGACAACGCTCCCCACGACGAAAAAGAAGTGCTACAATCGCTGGTGTGCCTCGACGCGACCATACATACCTTCAAAGTGCATCTCTACCGTCTTTAGAGGCTTCATCAATACCTAACTGGTCAGGCTCACTATAAAAATAGCCGTAGTTTGCGAATCCACTTCGGCAGGCACACTTTCGCGCTTAGTTAGTACTTTTCTGGTAAATCTGAGGTCAAACTTAAGCAAGCGACATAGTGCAGGAGTAGAGTTGTTCAGTGTGTTGACAAACTTGTCCTTCAGTGCCTCCTGCAGTTCCTCTAAGTAAAAACATGGATGAAAACGAATACAAACTATATCGCCTCTTTGGGTCATCTAGCCGATTTGTTCTTGCTATCCTTTGGCAACACGTTTCCCTTTGATTTAAAAATACCGTGCCATTACTCAATAGATCGAGCTGATACACCTAGAACACAGGACACAATTGTCATACTAATGTCGTACATGTAAACGAGAACTATTGCCCGCCACCTCAGATCTGTCGAGATAGACCGGTCAGGTAGTGCAGTGGTTAAACACTGAACTTCTTATCGCGAGGTTGCGGGTTCGACGTCGGAAAATTCCGATTCGCATAAGTACGAATTTGTGGCAGCAAAACCGACTGGGCCATAGGGTCGCAGCCGGTAATTGATGCGAATCAAGTGTCTACAAGGTGCGCCACGGGGACGCAAATCGTGTACGTAGTTAATAGCAGGTCTCAGGTAGCTAAGGTCTGTAAAAAAGAATCTACCTCGGGTAGAAGGAATTTAATCAGATATGTCGAGACCGTCATGGCGGTCCGGCGGACGAAAGAAAACTAAATCAAGCCTGAGATCGATATACAGCGTAGCTCAACACGATTAGCGTGTAGCAATCCGCCAAACCACCCCGAGTCAAATAACGCGGGCTTAATTCAAACTGCAGCAGAGACATCGCGAGCCTATAGCTACTTTGCGGGTACATTTGACTAGGGTTATCAATAATTCGAGCGGATTAAACATCTTGACCGCCTAAATAACTGACAGGTGCGAAACTGTTAATACCACAAGAACTCCAGTAGAAAGAAACCAGGTTCTCAATGCAACCTCTTGGCCTTAAAAGCTATGCGCATTTTAATTTAAATTTGAATCACATTTTAGTACATAAACAATGTCACTATTTCTGTTTTGAATTATCCTGTCTACTACGGTACCGGTATTGACTACCGGTACTAAAGGTGGACAAATAGATTGAAAACTATTACCGTATTTGAGATCTCCTACTTCAGAGTGATCTCCTAATTCAGACTGCCCTCCAACCAATCACATATCGAGAATGGAACAGCGCACAACTCTAGATCTCCTAATTCAGAGTACAAAAAACGTGCTAAACTGTAACTATCCACCCAGAAATTCGCAATGGCGCGCACTCCCCTCACGGCCAACGGAAAGGGAGAACCCGTATTTCTGGCACTGGCAAGCCTCCCAAGAAGTTCAAGCGCGTTGCCATTTCATACGCCTACAAGCTTTCGGTTGTGGAGGGAACCTGATTGGGAGCTGCTACGACGGTTGCTGGAAGAAGTGCCCGTAGTGCGCCATGCTGTGGATACGCGTCACGACAGAAAACTTCGTAGTTCCCGAAGAATAACTTGATAACTAAATTGTTTTGTTTAAATAATACGTGATAGAGATGCGTCGGTACATGTACAGATCTTGTGTATTTTGCAACAATACAGCTTCAAAAATATTGGGTCTGAAGTAGGAGATCTCAAATACGGTACTTCCTCCGGGACGAAAAAAGTGCAACATTGTACTATCCACACCTTTAAGTGCCGCAGCAGCTTACCTTCCTTTAGCGCGTCGCGAATGACCGAACGAGACACACCCACCTCTTTTGCTAAACTGTCTTGGGTCATGCGGCGTCTGAAAGGGACGTCGGCTATCTGCTCCAGCAGTGCGGAGCGGACCAAACACGGCTGATTGTGCTCTTGTCGACGCCAAAAAGGTCAGATGCACGGGTCAAGCAACCCCAGTCAGATTTCCCCCCGCACGCTGTGCATGAGGATGAAGAGGACGACATCCTGGCGTTCTCGGTTCGTTAGGTTTGGCCTCGAAGTGGCCCCAGTTGCGTCGGCTGCGCTGGTCATGCGGCTTGGAAATGAGGAGTGTCTGGTGTTAAAGATGCTGAAAATTGTGAAATAGCAAGCTGCCTGCGGTACATTTCCGTCGATAACTCTGGCGTCTGAGCAGCGTTTTTCGCGCGCAAACCAGCGTTGGAAAGTGGAGATCACACCGCGACGATTCCGCCAATCAGCGCTTCTAAAGCGAGTCTGTAGGAAAACCACGTTCTTGACTAGGGAGACTGTTGCAATTATTACCAACGAGAGGAAGTAGTACTAATACCTGCTGTAAAAGCTTTATCTTAGAAAATTAGTTTATTTAAAAATATATTATATTACTGGTCGAAAAGGTTTGAAGGTGGAAGAAACTTTTTTGTTTGAAAATTCAAATACCGCCACAACAACCAGGGCTCGCCAAAACCCAGTGATGTTTTTGAGGGTGGTGGGTTAAAAACTCAGTTTTTTTTTAATTTGATGACGTCATGTAGCAATTGGACAAAATAGGCGACGTCAAGCGGAGCACGTAAGCGATACATCTTCGTTCCGTTGTCGGTGCTAAATTCTAATAGCGCAGACATGACGGCTAGTTGCATGCTGAGGCCTTACTGGTGACTCACGGCTATAAATTTGGTTTCGAGATTAATTTTAAGTATACAATAAACTACCTTGTCACCAAGCTCTTTTTCGTATAAAGCCTCTGCGGTCTCCACTCCAGCAGCAGCTATTTTGCGTGGTCTACTAACTCCAGTTTTCTAACGCCAGGAGCGTTTCCCACGATGAGCGGTTGAAATGAAGAGGGCGAATGTGTGATGTTCAGTTTTATAAGTGCTCCGTGTCTTAAATATATCAGAACAGTGCTTATCGCAGTATTTCTTACTTCTCGAAATAATCCAATAAACCGGATATTTGAAATCACTGAGTGGGTGGGTCGTTTAATAAACCCAAAAAACTAAAAATCCAAATTCCATTTTACGAACACTGGCAACAACAAGCGATTGCTAGATGGACACGCTGCACGCGCAGAAGGAGAACGTGGGCGCCAATTTCAACGGTGTCGGGGCTAGTAGTAAGCTTTGTTTCGCAGTTGCTCCCAAGCTATGCCGCTTTATCCCTATCGTGGCTGCCCTTCTTACATGCTTACTACATGCCATTGCTTTTTTGCACTCAAAGACACAAATAAGTTCTTGACGCCGAACCGCGGATTCGTGATTCATGAGGACACAGGCCGAAAGGGGCTGAAAGAAAAATCGACAGAGAGCAGGTCGGCATTATGCCTACGTTTCCAGTGCTGGTACCTCCATGTCGCTGATTAACTAAGTGATAATCCTATAGGCGTGTGCTCAGCGATATTTCGAACAAACAGCGGGGCCGTCACGGGAATAGTAATGTGGACGGTATTGCATCTACCAAGAAAGGGCTGGGTGGACAGCCGAAGAAGCGTAGCCCCAACAAGAGGACACCCCTGACACCGTTGCGATCAAAGTCGCGAGCTCATCTAACGCCGAAGCCACGGGCTTCGTTAGCACCAAAAGTACGAGCGGCCTCTCAGAGTGCAATCAATACCCCACGCGTTGAAGAAGTACTGGTGCGTTATGCTGATGAGAACTAGCACACTTTCACTAGATGACTCATTTTCGACAATCTGTGCGATCTCTCCTCCAGGATATCGAATTCGCGTACGGTGGAGTTTCGTCTCCCAAGGCAGAATCAGCGTGCGTAAAGGGCTTGGACGATGCGATTTGGCAAGACCTTTTGACTCGTGAAACGCCAACACTTTTTGACGATTTTAATCCCACACGCGTCGTCGAAGTCTGGGATGATAGCCGCGAGAGGGTCATGCTGGAAAGCGGGGAGACCCCTTCTCTCTGGTGGGCTTCACCGAATCAACAGACGAAAAGAGAAGCAAAAGATCCGGATGCAAAAGAGTTGGAGGAAAGAGAGCAAGTGGAAGGTGATGATCTGAAGGACCTGCCTCCGCCGGATAACGTTCCCAAAGATGCGATTAACGATCTCGATGATGACGGATTGCTTGAAAACATCCTCAACGTGGACGTTGAAGCGGTGTGCAGCGATTAAGTTTTGGCTGCAATTGCTTTGAAAATATGCTGCTCATGTGTGTGTGTGTTTTTCTCTCAAGATGCATTCGAGCGTAACTTCTTCGTAATCTTACCGTATCTAATCGAAAATCAACCACTTCACTGGGTGCCCATCCGTGCAATCGCTAAGAGCTTGGATACCGTGTCATCACCTGCTGTTTGCCAGTCACCAATCGACGAGAATAACATAGAGAGATGCAGCTCAGGTGATGGTCCTGCGGACTGCCACCGAGACGAAGCTGTCACCCCGCACCTAAAGCAATCCAATACTGCTTGTGCTCGCTCAACCAGTTTTTGCTGTATTCCTGCGGTTCAGTACGGTTAATCGTATATATATCCTGCACGGGCCACGAAGGATTAACTCACCGCACTTTGCCGCGCAAGCTAGAGCATTGCTGTGACTCGAGATACCACGCCGAAGTTCGTATAGCGGAACAGCGTTTGACGTTGCAGAATATGATTTTGGCACGTCCGTCGACGCCATGACGGTGCAAACAACACGAGCTGTATCGGACGAGCTTTCATCTCCATTCTGAGTAAGGGATGGGTCGACTACCAGTTCTGGCACAATTAGATCTTTCCGAAATATGTCCTGTTTGCAAAACAGCCAGGTGAGCATATCTGCGATGAATTAGCGCTAGGATAAAACGCACCAGAAAGTGGGTTGTCAACACAACGCGTGGTCTACCCGCTGTAAAGCGCTTTCTGGCTAGATAGTTGATAAACGAACTCTGTGGCAGTAGAAATATATGAGAAGTGTCATCGTAAAACAACTAAAATCGAAAAGGGCTTCATACGAGCAAAGCAATTCCGTCGAGTTCCGCCGTTCCTGCGAAGCACGACTATGAGCTATCGGATCAGCTCACCCAATGAAAGTACTGCAAACCTTTTCCAAACTCATCGATCAAGAACAGCGAGTGGCCATCTCCGTGGTTTAGCATCCACGCCATCTGAAAACCCACAAATTATTATAATATACCTTCGTACAATTGCTTGTTTCTTGCTATTGTACCTGATTGCAGTCGATTGTAAACGAGCTTTGGGACACTGTCGCGGATTCCATACTGATGCCTTGCTCAGCTCCTGTAAGCTGGCCAACAATGCTAAGAATTTTTACTCTCACCTCTGTATTCTGGTGAAGACTTTCGTAACCAGTCCGATCTCCGCTTCAAGTTTTCATTGTTAAAGTTCTGCAAACTATCTAGCCACACTTTGCACGTGTACCTTTCTCTGCTGGAACAAAAGACCCAATTTGCGTCATGTATTGGAGAAGGCCAACCATTTTCAAATACACGGATTTGCCTAAAAAGACAGGAATGTTAAACAAAAGCGAGTATCCTAAACTTGCTTGGCTCACCCGATCCATTGTGTCCCGTGACAATTTTCATGAAATCACTCGAGTTGAGGAAAATATCGTTCGGAATGTAGTGCTCGACAAGTAGCTCTTGAAGAGGGTGGCGTGCTTGGGTTGCCTTCAATGTGCTGCGTCCAGAAATTTGAGGACTAAGCATGAAAATGAGCTAAACAACGTATCCTCTAGTTTTTGATATACCGTACCGGGTAAAACTGAAGCTCTTTCCGCAGGACGCGAACGAAATCAAGCAATCGAGGTTCGACATGATCGAGGTCATTTCTTGAGAACACACATTGTCAGACTTTGGGAGTTCAAGCTCTAGCAACGCGGATATTTACCATGGATGCTGCCTTCATACTCCAACAATGCCATCGTTAGCTCTTCCAGGAGGTCTGTATACATTAATATTGGTTTGTCAACAGCAGTTGTTAAGTGTTACGCCAAAGGGGTTTTCCTACCTTGCTGCAGATCAAGAATGTATCCTGCAACCCGGTTGTGTTAGTTGCATGAACGTCAAGCATTGTGTAATATGATATACCAAAGATATCTCCAACTGACTCATCCAAATCACGGCAGCAATCATCCTAACCAGGGCACCCGTGAGCATTTCCAACAGAGTTAATTTGAATCAAACTAAAAGATCAATGGGAGTGTATCATGGTGTACCTTGTAATAGAACGTTGTGTCGTCTTCTTGGAATTGGAACACAAAGTCTGGCAGTGTCGTGGGCGATTCACAGCAAATCACATACCCTACTTGGGGAATATACTGGACGGTAATCGACGACAGAACCGGATTTGCCTCTTGAACCTGAAACGCGATCTCCGACAGCACCTGCCCACTCACAGAGATTGAGCATTGGATCGTGCTGCAGGCAGCCTTTGCTTCGTACATTGTCAAGATCCTCGTAGCGCTCCCGTGCTGCATCCAAAGCCTCCGATACGCCACTTCGGATTATCACTGTGCTTTCTTGTTGACTCTCTTCGAAGTCCACAACGTTCCCAAGAAGGTTACTCACGTGGGTGATATTGTGCTCAGATTTTACCCTTGTGAGCACATCGGGCAGTGAAGACATGTTTGTTTCACAAACGCCTTTGATCATCGACCTGCAGTGAGCAATTCATTGCCATTTATTACCTTTAACAGTGGCATGTACCATTACTGGAGTGCAATACATCAGCAGTATGCCTTACTGTGCTTCCAAAAAGCTTCGGATTGAGGTGGCGAACCGACACCAGTCTCCAACTGAAGCGCAGCGTCTTTTAATGCGTTGGAAAATTCCAGCAACATCTCGGAAGTGCTTCAGCTTTTCAAGCTACAGCCAGTGAATGAAGGAGTAAGAAACATGCATTGCGTTGGCCGAAGAAGCTAGTAAAAACAATTACCAGTAGTTGCCGCAGTTCGTCGTTTTCGGCGCCAGTGAAAAATGCGACCGAATTGTGACGCTCGTTAATATGAGCACTGTTTACGAGTGGAGCCAGCATCCAACGGCGAAGCAAACATCCACCCGATTTTGTCACGGTTCGGTTGAGAAGACCAAAGAGACTGCGCGGAGTTATTAGCCAGGAGGTCTGTTCGAAATTAAGAAGCACAAAATTCACAAAACCTGAAGCCTTCTTTAGCTCGACCAGACCCCTGTAAGACAGAGTCGCAATATCAAAGATACAAAGATAATTGACAAGTTTCATCGCACTATACCTTGATTAGTGATGGATGCGCCTCCTGTATCACAGTAGATACGAATAGGCATATTGCTCATAAACACAATCGATCTCAAACTTAAATATTGCATCGGCCTACATGGTTGAATATCTGAAGGGACTGTAGCGTGGACTTGTCGATACACATAAAGCCATCGAGTGCAACTAGCTCCACGGTTGAAAAGTACAGCGATTCGACGTCGTCGAACTGATTCCCAATCTGGCGGCAGTTAGACACAGGTAAAACTTGACTTTACATTTAATAATCCAACGTACCTTTTCAGAGACCAAATAGAGCAACAAAGCTGCACACAACGTTAAGGAGGCGAAACACACACATATACCGGAGCAAGTAATCCTACCACCAGTAGCGCGAATAAGTTGAGTACTATCGAAATCGAAGAAACTGCCAAGAAAGGTGTTTGCTTCTCGCCTAAAACATCGCCGTCATTTATCTGAAGTGCAACCCTGCTGACAATTCAGCACGTCACCTACCGCGATAATCGAGCCCGATGCACCCTGAACTCGTCCGAAGCTGTACCGACTTGAACACGCTCAACTGCTTGGCAAGCTTTGTGGTAGTTAAAATCTGCTTGGCAAAACCAGCATGGGTCAATGCGACGAATTCTCTTTTTGCGACGACACCATACCCGAATGCTACATTACATGAAGCAAAAATGGTAAATAAAAGCCAACCAACCCGTAAGGCATCATAAACCGGATTGTAGAGTACCTTGCGGACGCTAATGCCCGTTCTCGTCTGGTGCATATCGCCCAGCTTCTTTACCATTCGAAGTATCCCGTTCGTACTTGCGTTCCGAGAGGAAACAAGCACATGATTTACTCCGAATTGAGTGTGCAGGCGATCAATAATCTAGGCAACAGTGATTCGGATTGGCTGTCGGTCCACAAACCGAACAGTCAACTCACTACTCACCTCCTCCAGTTCCTGTGGATCCGCAATTCGAAGTTGCAGCGTCTTGAGACTCGTCGTCAGCGCGTTATAAATCGCGACGCCCAGTTCGCCTCGGTCAAAAAGAATCGACATGAAAACTAGTTCCTCCTCCTCTACTTCATTGAAGTCTTCAACGTCGGACGGATGGGGCCGTTCCTCCTCCTCCCCCTCCCCTCGTTGCTGTGCGTATTCCACGTTAGACCTAATAAATATTAATACTTGAGCTCATCGAATCGTAAAATGGGATACCACAGCTTGAAGACTCGACATGGAGTGTTGCGCGCGCTCCAATGCGGAAATTTGGAGGGAATGACCTACTGCAACTTATGTGCTATGGAAGGTTCAACAATCAATTTGACAGGATATTGGAGTGGTGAACACACTCTGATCCGCATTTTCAAACGTGGGCTTCGATCAAGATGGTACGGCTCATACCGCATGAACGGCTTGACGGCGTTCGCGCTGCAGCACTAGCGATGACTGATGAAGTTTTATGATCACTGTGGTACACTGCTACAGGCAACAGCACAGGTCGCTGAGAACATCATCACGCTGAAGGGCTCGACTGAGATCGTAACCGAGTTCTTTTCTTGCAGCATCAACACGTACTTTCAGCGTTTGACGTTGCTGGCGGCGACTGGCGATGCAACGAACTAATCGTGTTTGTGCTGACATGTGTAGCATTTTGTACCAGCGTGGTATTTACCCCGCCGAGAGTTTCAAGCAGATCCAGAAGTATGGCTTGAACATGCTCGTTACGGACGACGACAAGCTCAGTGACTTTTTCACAAAGTTTCTCCATCAGTTATCAAGTACGGCAGCCTCCATTTTTGATTGTTGTGTTATGCTTGCACGAGATGACACACTTTAATTCGTAGACTGGTTGTTGAAGGGAGAAGTGCAAAAGCTTGTGCTGGTCATCACTGGAATAGAGACTCAGGAAGTGCTGGAGCGGTGGGTTTTTGAAGTTCACGCGGACAACGGCACTGGAGAAAGGTGCATGCGCATTACTGTAGTGCGGCTGATGATTTTCTTGCTGAATCGCACATGAGATGTATTGTTTGTAGTGATAGTACGCCTGCTTCGAAGCCCAAGAAGGAGATCATGGCTGAGATTCAAGCTATCATTCGGCAGATCACAGCCAGCGTTTCGTTCTTGCCTATTTTGGAGGAACGGTGTGCTTTTGACCTGCTTGTGTACACGGACAAGAACTCTGAAGTGCCCGCGCTGTGGGAGGAGTCAGATCCTCGTTACATCAAGGACTCGGCCGAAGTTCGACTGCGTTCGTTCTCAACAAAGGTGCGAGTTGTGGTCATCAAAAGGTGTATTCTGTGCTGATTTTCAATTAATCCGAGTGACGATTAATTTGCAGGTCCACAAGGTCGATGCGATGGTAGCGTATAAGAACCCTGAAGCCGACATCTAGTTGCCACAAAATCACAGCAGATTCCAATACCGTGCCTGCTTACTGCTTCTTGTCCTTGTTTTCAAAACGCGACAGAACGGTCTCTATGTCCTTGGTGAATGCCTCTTTGCTGAAGTAGCCGTCCTTATCGAAGTAACGGCCAACATAAAGCTCTTCCTTTCGTTGTTTTCCCTTCGCGTCAGCATGGTGGATACTGACCGTGTAGTGCGAGTCCGTGTAAGGAAACGTAGTCCGCACCAGAATGGTCTTACCTGGATTCGATCCCTGCAATGTAGTTATCCACATGCATACACTGTAAGCGAATCTTTCAACAATATCCCACCACGCACACGACTTCTTAGTTGCGCTGCGTACCGATCGCGTCACCCGCAGCAGGATATCCTTCTCAATAAACGTTGTGTAACCGAACAACAGCGCGTGAATAAAGAAGAACCTGCCCACCAGTCATAATAAGCTTATCTCACTCCAGAATGTGGATAGCGCCACAACGATAGTATGTAGAGCCCCAGTCCATTCACACTTACCCAGCGACGCAGGAATAGACTAGCACGTCCTCGGGGATGGCTGGGTGCTTGTAAAAGTGGGACACAGCCGCGATGATCGTCGCCAGCACCATGAGCAGTAGCTTAGCATTATCCCATTCATAGTGGAGCTTAAATTCCTTCTTCCCTTGGAACAACCCGACGATAGTGTCATCTAGTAGATTCTTGACGGCGTTCTGGTCTCCAGTCTCGATATGCAGGTCTGATTGCGTAAAAAAATGTTGGTAAATTAGACCGCAAGTACCAATAAGCCAACATTTCTTAGCACCACCATTACGTACCGTTCAGTACCATTTCGTCCTCTGAGTCCTTGCGCTCCGGGGAAGCGGTACTGAATGAGGAGCCCATAGCTGTCTGTGACTCGGACTCCGAGGGGATGATGTGGCACTTTCAGCGAGATAATCCCTTCTTCAGACACAAACCTATCTTAACACATACTGTAATTTACCGAGATTACATGTACATGTTGAGTATTCTGTATGCCATCCGATAGTGTGATAATCTGTTTGAATACTGAAAACGCAGCCACTGGAAGCTTTGCCAAGAGGCAGCAACCCGGCGAGGATAAGTAGCTGCAGCACCGGGCTTGATACGATGGCAAAAACCAAGGTTTCGAGTGAGGAGCTTAAGCGCAAGATGAAGCGTCCCAAGGCGCGGCACGAATCGGTGGCGGCGACGTCCGTCCCAACCCCTGGCTACGCTACCCTCGCGTCACTTGGGGCGCCGCCCACGTTGCAGTCGCCAAGTTCCAGTGCTCGGGGTGCGTCGTCTCACTGATTTCCAATAGTGCTCTGGAAACAGGGGTGGCATTAAACGCTTCGTAGCAAGTCTAACGAACTTGATGCGCTTAGGGTCTAAACCATCACCGGCGAGCAGATATGACAGTTCGTTAGGCCTGTTGACTAAACGGTTTGTGGAGTTGATCCAAGCTGCGCCGTCGAAGGATTTAGACCTGAACACAGCGGCGGAATCGCTCGGCGTTCAGGTCGGAAGACGCAACTGCGCAAATTATGCAATAAAGTTTTGGTGACTTTGGCTCTTGGTGCTGCGCATTGACAGAAACGACGTATATACGACATCACGAACGTGCTGGAAGGTATCGGGCTGATAGAGAAGACATCCAAGAACAACATTCACTGGAAGTATGTGGATTAGTGCATCGAATTAGGTAACTGTTAGGATGACTCTTTGTCCTTACGCTGACGATGATAATGCACTTTTGGTGTTGTGCAGGGGTGCAAGCGGGCCAACTGGCGCCGCCGACAGCTACCAGGGTATGGATCATCTTCGACAGAGCATTTCAGATCTTAGACAAGAGGAGCTCAAGTACGATCAACATATCAAGACGGTCAGCCAGAACATTCGACATCTATACGAAGAAGAAGCGTTCGACAAAGGCAGTTTCGAAAACTTTTGCTATGTCACACACAACGACATGCGACGACAGGAGAGTTTTGCAGACCAGAGCGTTATGGCAATCAAAGCCCCACCTGGAACAACTCTTGAAGTGCCCGACCCGGATGAAGGTATGCCCGCGGGGAAACGCCGGTTTCAGATCTTCCTCAAGTCTACAGGTATGAGATACTGCATCCTGCTACTACTTTGATTTACAATACAACTGTTGTTGTCTTCTCAGATGGACCGGTGGATGTGTATTTAGTTCGACGGATGGATGAAAAGAATGCTGATGGCAGCGAGTCGGCGAAGGATGCCCGAGCACTTGCAGCTCCTGATAGCCCAGCGCCTCCTTTAGACCAGGTTAGTATAGCTATGTGCTCTGACACACTTTTTGTCTATATTTATATGCAATCTCGGCTTATCTTTACAACTCTTCTTGTCGCTTTGCTACAGCAGAAATCATACGATTCGGACAGCGGATTATTCAAACTGGCCCCGTTAAAGGTATTGAAGCAATTAGAACACAACTCTATTGCATCCACACTGTTTCCTATTAATCATGTACTGTGCCCACTGTGCTAACAGACCGATCCAGATTTCTGCTTCAGTCTTGACGATAGCGAAGGCATCTCTGACTTTTTTGCAGACATTCCATAAGTGAGGAATTGCGACGTCAGTCATTGCGCACCATGTTAGCAAACTCTTCAGTATGCCGGCTACCTCGTTAGCGACGACTGGTCCACTCACATGAACCAACAGCAGGATTGCCCAACTATTTAACCCTGCTGGGAGTCGATCCTTTTGCTCGGTGAAAACCACGACCCCAGAAGCTGTTCTGCAGCATTTTGGCTCATTCGATGTGCTGGGTGCGACAACATTAGCACGAGCGCCTAAGTAGCCAACATCACCAACGTAATTCTTTTTAGACGCTTCTGCTGGCAATCCCTCGTGCGTATCGAACATATATGTACCGAATCGTACCTGGTGCAACCTTTCAAGTGATTGACCGACTTCTAGGAAGTAAAACTTGGCAAACGGGTTCGTGTTGTCATATGCGCAGAACTGGTTGAACGCACTCTGCAAAAGCAGCAGGCGTGAGAAAGAAAAAGTCAAGCTGACGAGTGACTCAATGAACTATGTAACCTGAGCTGCCTCTTGCAGGACGTCTTGGTGCCAATAGATGACATCCAGATGATAAACAGGGTCGTTGATAAACGTCCTGGAAGTTTCCCCCTGGCTCGACTGCAGCGATGGTCTCTGTACAGATCAAATTGAATTATTGAAGCCGAAGTTGCAAGTTTAACAGTAGAGCAAGTACTGTAGTATTGTACCTGTTTCACTTGTCTGCAGACGACCAGTAGGCGAAACGGCGAAGTGCTTTGGCGCTCCTGGGGTTCATACTATAACAATCTCCATTTTAGTGTTTCCAAACAAGCAGAGCAGAGAACTATTCCTATCGGACCAATTTTCGTCGGGCATCGAAGTAGCGAGCGACATCGGCCAATAGAGCATCAAGGTCCACTTCAGAATCACACTCAGCTGAAGTGAACAAGCCAGGCACCGCCGCCACCAAAGCATTGACGTCTTTCGTGCACTGCTCCAAAGTGCCTCTTGTCAGCAAATAACCAAATGCCAGTCAATACCAGCCAGTGTCAACCTCCTGCTTAACATCGAGTCTTGATCCCTGAACGGTGGCAAGACTAATCTGGTGCTGCAAAAGGGGCTAACGTTAAGAGTTATTTTGTTTATTCCCAAACGGACGCCGGTGTCGCCACTCACGCTGCCCCCCATTTGCATTTTGATTCGAACAATCTTCAGCATCGCTTCCTGAAGCACTCGAGCGTCGGCATCTTGGTCCACTCCACACACACAGATCATCTACCGAGATACCAATAAGCGTTAAGTATAGACAACAACCTCTCCAACGTAGCTGTGCACGTACGAGATGCTCATCTGCGAGCGTTAGTTGCTGAAAAGCTCGAGCATCGTCCAGCGTCGGAGTGACCTTCATGGCTTTGTACATCTGACTGGCTTTTTATATGGCGAGATTGGGGCCACTGAGTAGGTTGCAAACTCCCGCCCAATAATAAAGACTTCGCCAAAGGCCATCGCAACAGCTTAGGGGTCCAGTGACTTCGTGATAGGTCCAAGCATAGCGCCGACGTGACGGTTCGCACCAGCAACACTGGCAAGCATAGTACTATCACCAGCCTTAGAACGGACAACAGCAGCGTCTCCCTCGCCTCAAGGCCTTGAGTCAAGGAAGATCTCCTGGAAGGTCTTCTGCTGTAAGATCTGGTCATAGATGTAGATCTGTGATTAGCCTATTATATACAAGAACCCAGTACCGGACAGTATCGCAATCACGTGGCGCCTGGAGCATGCTCCGTTCATGCTAAGTTTGCATAATGGTGGGCGGGACAAACTGCCAGATCGGCCCAAAGACGGCTGCACGACTTTTGGGTTCTCCACTTCAAGGTCTGTGTCGGTGAGGCGGGAGGAGACAGCGGAAGTAACAGAGTCCACATTGGGCAACGAAGACGAGTGCCAGACAAAAGAAGGTGTGAGAGATCGTCAAGTCGTACCCATCTGTGGTTGCTGCGGGTATCGACAACGAGTACGATGAAAATGACCCAAAGGACAGTGTTCCAGAGCTCGAAGTCGCACTGAAAAAATCTACCCATCCGCTAGAAGCGCTTTCTAGCCTAGAAAGCGCTGACGAAGATAAGTAATGAGGTGAACGACCTGGAGCATATTTATGGCAAGCTTTGGAAGTGCCCCAACAACCTATTGGATTAGCCTGCTGGTGGACTAGCGACATCGGGTGGATATTAATCTAAGAGCAACCAGGTAACCGGGCGTGTTCGAGTAGGCGGGCACGCACTGGGGACTCCCCAGTGGGGAGGCAGATGAAGGCAAAGACGATAGAATTGTAGTATTTCTTGGCCCAGTGGATCTAACTGTTGTAGCCTCACGACGTAAGGTACGATCGGGTCGTTTTGGATTTCTGGAAACGCGCTGATGCATCACAGACTGTCGTGGATCACAACCATCATCGCGTTCATGCCGTTTTTATTTAGTGGTCAATGGCCACTGGTCAAGAACGACAAAGAAGTTTAATGCGACCAAGCTATTTTCCATATTCTATAAACGATACAGAAGTAAACCAATACTTCAGTATTATACATGAAGAACACCGTTGCCTGTAGTTAATGCAAATAAGCTCCGTTTCGTATCTCGAGTAGGTTAGAGGCACTTCATAATTAACCCTTGCTCAACGTCCCGGGTCTGTTGCTCATAGCAAGTGCTGTATACTTCATGCCGACGCCAGCAAACTTTTTCTTTCGCTCCTCAGCTTCCTGTTTCCGCTGTTCCAGCTCCTGTGTGCGTTTCGTCCAATAAACTTGCTTCTTGGCGCGGTCCTCAACCATCTTGCGTAACTTCAAACCAGACTGTACTTCTTCTTCGGTCTCGCTGTCGGGGCTGCTATCTTCGCACACCATTTGCAAATGCGTTACCTGTTGGAATACACTTCCATAAGTAATGCGTCCAGTCTTTATATTTTGCTGCAGTCATTCTCATCTGCCGAATCTGAACAGCGCACCCAGGATTCGCGAATCTCCTCCGAGTCCGCCTCCACATCCAGTAAAGTATCGCCCTTCTGGGACGTAATGGTAAACCCAATCTTGCCTGTGTAGCACTTAGTGCAAAAATGCAAATGCAGAGATTAATGCACCTTGGCGCAGTCACAAACCTTGTGCTTGGATTAAGTTCACTGAGTGTAACTCGATCTTCCTCGGCCCCTTGATCGAGTCGTGTAGTTTCCACAACAATCTAATACCAAATGTCAGCACACCACTGTTGATTTTAATATCTTACTGTGGTTGTAACGCACGTGTGTCCGTCCTCATCAAGTTTCACATAAATCCTTTCCGTCCCGGTGTTCATCCCTAGAATCGTCCTTTTCCGCATGAAGTAGGCACCTGGATGCCGCACAGTCGACAAATAAAATACTTCGTGAAGTACCCCGTAGCGACACATCTAGTCTGTTCATGCATCTCACCTTTCTGCAGCACCAGCAGTCTCTGCGCACCTTCCTGCCGTGCCTGACATTGCGCCAAGCAGTTGAGCTGGTTCCCCATTGTCAATTATTACTTGTAAATGGACTCTTTATTGACTTTTGACCAATGACAAGCCTCACTTCATATAGTCAGTCGGCATGGGCGTCCAGCAATCGCGCACCAGCTCCGAGCATTTGGGCGCGATCACGTCGAAGCCTCTGGAGCTGCACCGTCAAGCGGAGACGGGCATGTTTTCGGACTCAGAGAGTGACGTTAGTGGAAGTGACAGCAATACAGATGAGGAGAACGGCGTGTGGATGGCGCTGCCGAGCGCATTGAGCTCCACCGGTCGCACATTTCGCAAAATTGAAACGCAGGTGGTGAATCAAGAGGAACAGCTTCACTTGGTCAAGCGTAGAGCGAGGAAACTCGCACGAACTACTGCAGACGCTACAGAGAATGGCGCAGACCCTATGTCGCCTCGTCATTTTCACAAGATAAAAGTGATCGGAGTTGGTGGGATGGGAAGAGTGCTGCTGGTTCGTCATCGACGAGATGGAAAGCTGTACGCGATGAAAGTCATGTCTAAAAAGTCGGTGAAGGAGAAGGATATGGCTGCGAGAGTTTTGGCGGAGCGTGACGTTCTCGGGGGAACTTGCCACCATGCGTTGGGTAGGTAGCTGAATGTTTTTACATCTATGATCACAGTAGTGGTGATATAGTGGTTGTTGACAAACTGTGGTCTAGTTCAACTGTATTGGGCTTTTCAGACCAAAGACAACCTGTATTATGTGATGGAGTATTGCCCTGGTGGAGAGTTGTCCACGCATCTGGAGCGAGCAACGAGGTTTACGGAAGAAGTGACAGCGTTTTATGCGGCTGAGCTACTTCTCGCTGTGCAGCAGCTTCATCAACACGGCATTCTGCACCGAGATCTGAAGCCAGAAAATATCCTTCTCACAAAAGACGGACATCTTAAACTTGTTGACTTCGGTATCAGCAAGTTCGGAATTACCGAAGCTACTCGAGGGGCGACGACTGCCTGTGGTAGTTACGAGTATTTAGGTGGGTATTGCTATGATTGAAGGTGCATTTGAGAGGTCAATGTATGACTGTGGTTTTGCTATCACCCTGGTAGCTCCTGAAATACTAAAGGGGAAGGAATACGGCACAGCTGCGGATTGGTGGGCTTTTGGAGCAGTGGTATATGAACTCCTGACAGGATTACCGCCATGGTACAGCCAGAATGCGAAAGAAACGTGCAAGCAAGTTCTATTCGCACCACTTTCGATCCCAGAATTTATATCGCCGGAAGCCGAGGATTTGTTGCGAAAGCTACTCAACCGGAACCCGTATGAGAGATTGGGCTCTTTGCATGGGGGCTCAGAATTAAAGGAGCATCTATTCTTTCGTCATATCGACTGGGAAATGATTACTTTTCGGGAGGCCCAACCACTGATCCAACCTTGTTTATCTACAGAAACAATCGTACGTCTGTAATTCTGCTACCATGTGGGTCTTTCTAACCCTTGTTTGTCGTTTTTGTTGTTGTGAAGATCGATGGTATCAATAGTAGCTTTCGCGACGATTTTACAAGAGTGTCGCTAGGACGTATTGACAGTCCTGGGAGCGATGGGGGGTTCAGTGAATCCTTTAAAGGGTTTAACTTTAAGGCATCTGAAGACCAGCAGATTGAATATGGCTACACTCGCGACATCAATATGTCCAGTAATAAGGATGGTGTCTTCTAAGTCAACTTAATTTTGCGGCGACAGGTATGTTAAATGTTGCAATGTTTGTAATAAATAGTTTAACTATTTTGGTGAACTTCACGAATTTTTACGCAAGAGAATAGTTTATGTGCTGGCTTCACACACGTCACCCTCTTCTCGCAAGTAAAAAATGTTCGTGATCTTATGGGTAGCGTATCCGTCTGAGATTTATTCTAGAGCATTCTTCATTTCAAGCACCGTCAAGTTGTCGAACTCCGTCTCGACCTATAGACTTCTATCCTGCCAGGAAAACGATATATTGACCACAAAAACGATTTACATGTCCTTACAGCAAGAAGTGAGAAGGCAATATAAATGATTTGTCGTATACCATCTCCTTCAAGGGTCGGGTAGTCCGCGGCTGTTCGGGGAGTACGGTCTTGTTCAGTGGCCAGAACGGTATATAGGAACACTTAAAAGAATATAAGCTTGTTTATTGACTTGTCTTCCTCTTGAGTAGAAGTAGAGAAATATAAGACTGAGAGCTAACTGGAAGAGAGGTCTAACACCGCCCCTTCCCTACATACACTACACCACTTCTGTTATACTAGAAAGAAGAGTTCACTTCACCTGACGTCCGCCATCGTGGGACAGCAGGGAGTTCTGGGAAGGGACTTGATGACGCTAGGTGCTTTGGTCCCACGACGCCTGAGAATCAGCGTTCTTGGACCTCCTTATAGAACCACTCTAACGGGCTCGGTCAGGGGCACGCGAGCCGTCGAGTTCAACGGGAATCATCCTGACGGGACGGCCGGGCGAGGAGTAGCCACAGGGCCTCGGGTCATCCGACGGGGCGCATAGCTCCTGGAATGACCCCTTCGTTCCCGGGTACGGGACAAATTGCTCCAGTGCGATGAATTTTCTGTAATATATTTCTGTCTACCGGGGGGGGGGGTCCATGCACAGTTAGCTGAGTTCTTGTAGACGAGAGGAGTGGGATGGTAGCGCTCTGCTAACGAATTTGTGCTTGTGAAAGTTAAAAAAAAGAAACGAGAGCGAAGTTGTGGTGGTAAAACGCGACGAAACGATCGGCGGGGCCATTAGAGCAGAGTATCTGGAGACACTTAAGCAAGGTGTGCAGATCAACTCGCCATTAAACCGCGTTACTTTTACGTGGAATAAAAGTCAGCACTGATGTCTATATCCATCAATCGTTAATCTACGACCTCTTAACCCTTTATCAAATCTGCCTTTTTACAGTCTCGCTTCATCGCTCGTTTTAGCCAACGATTTTTATACTGCCCTCCCCCTGCTCTCGCACCAACACATTCACGCCACCCACCTTATTCAGGGACAAACTGTGACGGGGTCACACAGCCCCTTGCGCTAGAGTAAGTTGGCTTCCGAGAGTATACAAACTCTCAGTGAACGGCAGGTCACAGGCCCCCTTTTACCGAAAGGGAGCGTAGTGACCAATTTAAGGTAGATTGTAAACTGAGTATGTTTATAGGTAGGTTAAACTTGAGCTAAATACAAACTATAAGTCACCTATAAAAAAGCAATGTCATCAGCCAATGGTTGGCTTTTTACGACCTTGGTACCTTGTACCAAAAATCTCGAAGTATGACGTGTCACACTTCATGTAACCAGGAAAACACTTAGGGCTACGTACCCCGTTACATTCTCCCCCACTTAGGTTCGGTTTACCGATTAATCAGAATGAAGAAGTGTACGTCACAAACTTTCATTCTCAAAGTCGAAAAACATCGACTTGGCCGCGCGAACGCGGCGAAGGCTCACTTCACAGTTAGAGCCTCGAGCAGAAGTCTGTGCGCTCCTCTTCTTGGTCTCCACATCGAGCGTTACCATGCCCCGCGGCACTGCGAAGAGCGGTGCGAAGACACGCTCCAAGGCTGCTGCCGGAAAGGCGCAGGCCAAGAGAACTAAGCCTCACGGGAAAGGCTCGGCACTCCAGGAGGCTACTCAGGTGGCCTCCGAGGCGATTGGCTCAACTGGTGACGCGGCTGTGCGCAAGCGAACGAGCAAGCGCCGCAGTCCGTCCCCCTCGGCCTCCCCAGACAGCCGTCCGAACCCTCGGTTCGCTGAACGTGAGTTCGACTCAGGCAGTGAGGACGAAGCCGAGTCCGGGAGCACGCACGATGCTCCTGTGGGCTCTACGGGAGGGCATAGCCCAGTGTCCAGCGAGCACAAAGACGACAGCGTGCAGTCGCTCGCTAGTGATCACGGTGATCACAGCCCCAGGACATCGGTGCACTCTGAGAGCCCGGCCGTCAAGGCTAAGGGCACTCCCAAACCTGGTATCGACGAGGAAGAGAAACCTCGCAAACGTCTCTCGCTTGCCGAGGGTCTTGCGCGTGCTAAGGCCGCTAAAACTGAAGGCGCCAAGCCCTCTAAGAAGCGTACGGCTTCGAAGTCTCCACTCCGCGAGGAGAAGGAGACTGGTACTCCCATCGGGGCCTCTTCGATTCCTCGGATGAAGAGGACGAGCAGGAGGAAGAGGGAGTGGGTGCTATTCCTGAGCCCCGGGAGTTCTCTAACGACCTTGAACAGCAGCAGGAGGACTTCCAAGCTGCCCAGCGTACGCGTGGGGGTTCGGTGGTGGCACCCGTCAGCCAGGGAGCTGCCATTAAATCAAGAGGGTATTGGCCTCCCGAGGAGAGCTAGGGGGCTGACCACTTTCTGGAGCTTCTCGTCGCTCCTCGTGGCCTTGCTGGCGGCCACACCTCTAGGGGCGTTTATGAGCGTATCCTTGTGCAAAAAGAGCAGTTGTTTGTTGACAACTTGAAGGCGGCTCGGTGTGTGCTTCTCGCGCCACACTGTATCCCTCTTAAGGACTTTACGACTTGTCGTAAAATGCCCGATAGCCGGGGTGGTCTCTACCCTCTCTGGGGCTTCCCCTGGTTCTTCCCGAGGACTGTCCCACCTGGAACTCATGTGAAGACATGTTCTGGGCTTGGATGGAGTCTCTCAAGTACTCATCCTCGGAGTTACGGGAACTCCACGAAGATCAGCTGCTGTCTGCATCCTGGACCAGCGTGATCTTCGTGTTCGGTTTGCCCACGTGGTCAGCAAGCGCATGCTGCCAAGGGACATTACGAAGCGTGCGGCTTCTAGTGCTCACGATGAGCGCGGGTACGAAGTGTCGTCAACGTCCGTACCCCGTTTGGTCAAGAAGCCCCGGACTACTTATGAAGCTGCCGCCGCTTCTGTTCCCAGATTGCGACAGCATTCGGGTAGTCAATCAGGAGCCGCTCAATCGGTTCCCATGAGCTCTCGGAGTCCTCCACTTCACGAGGAGCTGTCGCTTACCGCGACGCCGTTGCTCCTGGAGGATTCGCTCCACGTGGAAGTGGACTTTTCCATTCCGGTCAAGAAGGGGCGGAGGTACCCTCGTACGAGTACGAGTACTCGGCGCCTCCCGAACGCCACTCTCGTCCGAGTGCTCCGACTGCGGGTCCGACACAGGGCCCTGAGGTTGACCGCCTCCGTCAACGCGTCCTCGTGCTTGAGATTGCACTTGGCCTTGGGACTGGCGGTGCTGCTGCCGTCCAGGCCGGGAATCAGGGCGAGCTCGCTCGTCTTGCGGGCCACCTGGACCTGTTGGAGCGAGAGGTCGCAAGCCTGCATCTGCGGGTGGATCGCCGGGCCTCTTCGTCCGATCTGGACGAGGCCTTTCGCACGATCCAACGGATCGAGGCTCTGCTGCCACGTCAGGAGCCGCCTGCGGCACACTCCCAGACGTACGCGTATGATGCGTACCCGGCGTACCCAGCGTACTCGGCGTATTGCGCCGGGGTCCGTTCGTACGGAGCCCCTCCGGCGTACGGTCTTGACCGCAGCCTTGCCGTTTCGACCGAGGCTTGGGTGCCTGCTCCGACGCCGTCGTCGACGTCTGTGACCGGCCCTCGCTTCGAGGAGCTGGGTCAAGGTGGGTATGCGAGTCAGCAACCCCCTGCGGATCAAAGTACCGCTTAAGACGTCCAACATAAATCGTCGGGTGCGTCGTCATTGACTTTGGCAGGTCGATGGTGTACGACGCACCATGTCTGGCCAGGACTGCAAATGGTCCGATGAAGCGGTGCTTCAGCTTGTTGCTGCCGACAGAGCTAACAGTGTCTAGAGGTAGATTCCTCGTGTCTAGTAACACTAAGTCACCAACCTCAAATATACTTAAGTTTCCTCTTCCTTGTTTGTCTGAGTACTCCTTTTGTTTATCTTGGGCTGCTGCCATGTCATCGCGGACCCTGCTGACAACGCTCAGCTTGGTATCCATAAAGGATTCCACTTGTTTCCGCAGCGAAACTGGTCTCACATTCGAGACCTGGGAGGAAAGGGCTTTCCGAGCCTCTCCCCCACTTAGAATAGAGGTGTCAGTGTCTCCTCGAAGAGTGAGAGGCACTCTGGGGTGACGGAAGCCGCTCAAGTGGGACGGCGTGAGCCCCGTGGACGCGTGCACTGCGTTGTTGAGCGCAAACGCAACAACTGGAAGCTGCGTCGACCACGTACGTGGTGCTGCCGCGCATACACTGCGCAGAGTGTCCTTGAGCACTCGATTGACGCGCTCAGTCTGGCCGTCTGTCTGTGGATAATCCGCAGTGGGCATCAGCAGACGTGTTCCCAGTAAAGGAAACAGCGTTTTCCAAAACGCAGCCGTGAACCGCGGGAGACAATCCTCCGTGATAGCGGAACACGCCATCGACGAACAACCTTGCGGTTTGTTCGCCCGTAACAGTAACGGGAACCGGAGCAAGATGTACGATCTTGCCCAGCCGACACACGAGCACCAAAATTCCGGTGTTGCCGTGTCCGTCGGCGGGAAGCCAAAAGATGAAGTCAAGACTTATCAACTTCCAACAGTCAGCCGGTACGTGCAGGCTCTGTAGTGTAGCCGAAGAGTGCCCTGCGGGTTCGAACCGCTGACATTTTTCACATGTCTTCACGTATCGGGCGACCCACTTGTACATGTGGGTCCACCAGAAGGACTGAGAGACCGACAGAAAGGTCTTCTCGCGCCCAAG